TCTTATTTCAGAAAAGGGTTAGAGGGCTAAAACGAGTAAGTTATAAAAGTTACCTCCAAGAGGGACTTACATGTTTGATTCACCATTTGTGAGATCTTTATATTCTAATTTCATTGGCATTAACTTTTAGGTATGCAGAGGATGACTACATTCGGCTTGTCGCAGATATTCAGAGCTGTCCGTGGAAACAACAAGCGGAAGAATATGAGAAATTTAGGTAAAACAAGTATCATAAGTAAAAGGAGACCAAAATGTCTTGTGTATCTGCTTTTTAGGGCAAAGAGGCATTGTATTGTTTAGAGGAAAGTAGAGGGGGTCACCCCCTTCTATGAGGATGATTTAATTCTAAGACTCTCTCCTGGTATCTTAGAGTTTTGGTGCAGTTAAATATGCCCAACTTCCACATTCCATTGCCATCGCTGGTATAGAAATCAGCATTATATTATTAGAATTAATTTTTCAGACTCCAAATTTAAAAGATAGTTTTGTTGGATGGTTTGTGGATGTTGTTTTCATTTCTTGTACCATTTATATTCGGTATGCATACATGTGAGGAGACCTGGCAGTGTCACTGTTGGGTGTTCTGCTAGCCCAAGGGGCTGATGGTGGAGGAATGCGAATGGCCCTCAGAGCCTTGCAGAGTGGATTTTAGCAGCTGTAGTTAGGCTGGAATGTGAAGCCTCAGATCTCCCTTCAACCTACTCTACATGTATTCGATTACGTAATTAATTAATTGCCACTTACTTTTTATTGAAGTTCCTCTCCTTTTTATTTGGTCAGTGTTGCTGGATCCTTTTTTGTTTTTTGTCTCGTTTTGTATGTTGCCCTGTACTGGAAAGCCAGGATGGCTGGATCTGTGAAGGCAGCAACCAGGGGAATGGAAGAGAAGAGTGGGGGTGGGGGATGAGGAGTCAAAGGCAATGGGGCCAAGAAGGAAGAAAAGGTTTCAAAGTTGATTGTGGTGATGATTGCACCGCCCTTCTTAATATGATTGAAATATTGCATTGCACGATTGGTTAATTATATCTCAGTAAAGCTTTTCTAAAAAGAGGTCGATGACTTAAATCCATCCATTGGCTCTGTGGGGACAAAGGGCGTGGTGTTCTGCAGTCGTAAAACTTACTACCTGGGGGCAGTTCTACTTTGTCACATGGAGTTGCTATGGTTCAGAATAGACTAGAAGACATCTAACAACAACACATATATACATGTGTATGAGTTTATGTATGTAGGTATTATTGTCAATAATATGTAATGGCGTTAGGGAATATTTGGAAAACATTGAAGAAAAATTGATAATCTCATCACTAGAAAGAATCTATTTTTATTTCTACATCTTCTTTTCCATATTTTCTCATTACAAAAAAAAAAATCACTGCTATCGAGTCAATGTTGCCTCATAGTGACCCTGTAGGTCAGGGTAAAACTGCCCCTGTGAGTTTCTGAGACTGTAACTCTTTATGGGAGTGAAAAACCCCACCTTTCTGCTGTGGCGTGGCTGATGGCTTCAAACTGCTGACCTGTGGGTAGGTAGCAGCCCAATTATGCCACCAGGGTTCCTGTGTCTTCTCCTTAGGTTTTGAAAATTAGTTAAGGAGCTGGAGTTGCTTGTGGTAATAATTTGGTGCAGAGCCTTCAAACTGACAAAACCAGCTTATTGGCTGTTAATGAAAGATCTCTTGGTGCACTTGGATGTCTTGAAGTCCACCTGACTAAAGTAGATTTTGTTAAGGAGATTTATACTGTGTAGTATATGCATAGTTAACAATCTGGTACCTATCCAGTGGTGGGATTCAAATAATCGAACAATTGGTTTGATTTGGTTTGCTGCCCTAATGACGATTTTAAGTATAAAAAAATTACATACGTAAAGGTAGTTTATTATTTCCTACAGTTAATACTTAAATAAGAACAATAAAAGTGGTACACAAAACTAGATTGTTATAAAAATGTTTTAAAATATTAAATTTTGTCAGGTAAATAATACCTGACAAAACAATAAAATTGTTAAGATATTTCAACATTGCGTCTTTTTTGGTTTGGGGGATATGAGGAAAATTCTGTACACATATGATGTTTTGCTATAATTTTGACCAGAATAAGAGACCAATTGTCAAGAAAAGTAACTATCATTAAAATTTTTTTTAGTAATCAGCAAGAAAGTATATTCTTAATTAACTGACAAGAGACATGTGTTCCAGAATAAAACTCATGAAAGATAAATGTTCTTACAAACTCATAGGCTTAAAAATATAGCCAGCAACAACGCCATAGACAGGGGAACAAGGAGAGCATTAAAATCAACAATGAGGAGGACATAGCGATCCTGGGGGTGTTGGAGCAACAGCAATCTAGCTGAGATGAATCACTGAGAGGCAGAAGAAGGGCGAGCATGATGGTGGGGCAGGAGGAAAGTGAAAGGAAACAGAGGAATGATCTAGGAAGCAAAGCTATGGATAGAGACCTGAATATAGGTCTATATGGCAATATCTTAAGGTAGTGGGTGGACTTTGGGCCACTGCTCAAACCTGGCATTCTGTGATGCTCAAACCTGGCATTCTGTGATGCTCACCCTCCGCACAATTGCTTAAGATAAAATGGGTGCATAAACAAATGTCGTGAAAAAAGCAGATGGTGGCCGGCTATCAAAAGATATAGGTAGCATCTGGGGTCTTAAAGCCTTGAACTTAAGCAAACAGCCATCTAGTAGTAGAGAAGTAACAGGTTCACATGGAAGACGCACTCTAGCCTGTGGCATCACGAGGTGTAGATGGGATCGGGTAACAAGCATCAGAAGACCCAAAACAAACAAAAACCATATTGTTGAGAATGAGGGGGTCAGAGCAGAGACCCAAAACCCATCTGTAGACAGTGGGACATCCCCTCACAGAAGGGTCACAGGAAGGCATGAGTCAACCAGGTCACAGTATAGCAGATGAAACACCCAATATTACTCCGGTTCCTTGAAGCTTCCTCAGCCTCCACTATCATGACCCCAGTCCTGCTTTTCGCTGAAGCTAGACCAGATCTGTGCACAGGTATACAAGATAAAAGCTCACGACACATGAACTGCAGGAACAGGAATGGGAGTAGCAATACCAGGAGGGTAGGGGGAGGTGGGGAGAGGAAGGGATGGCAATGATTGACACATAACTACCACTACCTCCCCACCCCACCCCAGAGGACGAACAACAGAAACTGTGGGGGAAGCGAGACAGTGGTTGGTGTAAGATATGAAAATAGTAATAATTTATAATTTATTAAGGGTCACGAAGGGGAGGGGGGGAACAAACAGGAGCTGATACCAAGTGATCAAATAGTAAATGTTTAGAAAATGATGGTGGCAACATATGTACAGATATGCTTGATACAACTAATGTATGGATTATTATAAGAGCTCTAAGCCTCCAATAAAGTGATCATTTAATAAAAAATAACCCAACTCATAATACATATATATGTATATATGTATGTGTGTGTATATATATATATATATACATATTTATAGCCAGTGTGTTAAATGCATGCCTTAACAATACGAAAAAGGAAAAAGATAACACAATTTTTTTCCTTTTCACAACATAATTAACTTTAAACTAATTGTATTTCTCCCAAGGTGTGTTGAATTCTAAGGCTATCTGATCCTGCTTTTAATTTTATTTTTTGTTCTTTAAAAAAATTATTATTATTTATTTTTAAATCATTCTATTGGGGGCTCTTACTGCTCTTATAACAACAATCTATACATCAATTGTATCAAGCATATTTATACATATATTGCCATCATCATTTTCTAAACATTTGCTTTCTATTTGAGCCCTTGGTATCAAGGCTCCCCTTCCCTCCCCTTGTAACTCCTTGATAAATTATAAATTATTATTATATTTATATCTTATGCCAGCTGCTGTCTTCTTTCACCCACGTTTCTGTTGTTTGTCCCCAGGGTGGGTGGGGGCGGTATGCATCCATTACATCCATTATGGTGATTGGTTCCCCCTATCTCCCCTCCTCTATCCACCTTCCTCCTACCCTCCTGGTATCACTACTCCCTTTTCTGTTCCTAAGGGGGTTATCTAACCTGGATCCTATGTACCCTTAGCTCTTATCTGTACTCATGTACATGCTCCGGCCTAGCCCACAGTGAAAGGCATGATAGTGTGGGGTGAAGAAGCCTCAAGGAACCAGAGGAATGTTGTGTTTCATCTGTGCTATACTGCACCCTGGTTGACTTATCCCCTCCTTGACACCTTTCTGTGAGGGGATGTCCTATTGCCTACAGATAGATTTTGGGTCTGTGCTCAGACCCCCCTCGTTCTCAACAATATGGTTTTCTTGTTTATTTTGGGTCTTCTGGTGCCTGTTCCCTGATTCTGTTGACACTTCATGATTGCACAGACTGGTATGCTTCTTCCATGTGGGCTTATTGCTTCTCTGCTAGATGGCCACTTGTTTAACTTCAAGGCTTTAAGACCCTAGATGCTGTGTCTTTTGATAGCCAGGCACCATCAGCTTTCTTCACCACATTTGCTTATGCACCCACTTTGTCTTCAGTGATCATGTAGGGAGGGTGAGCATCAGAGAGTGCCAGGTTGTTAGAACAAAGTGTTCTTGTGTTGAGGGAAGGCTTGAGCTGAGGTCCAAAATCCATCCACTTCCTCAATGCATTGCCATATAAATATATGTCCATAGACTAACACATCTATTTTTATGAATGAATATATTTACTTATGTACACACCTATGTCTATGCCTCTATCCATAGCCTTGCTTCCTAGATCTTTCCTCTCAACATTGCTTCTTGATTGGCATTCTCACTTGTGATATCTTTACTGTTATCTGAGCATCATCAGCTGTGTTCTGACCATCTATTCACTTAAAGAGTAAGATCCTATTCTTTTAGAGGGAGGCTGATTAAACCATAGTCATTGTATTTGATATGTTAGAAACAGATGACTTCTCTTCTCTGAACATTATACAATGTTCATCTTGAAAATCCCATTCCTCTTCTGCTGAACTCACAGCAGTTTTTCTAACAATAGTTTAGCTCTTCGAACACTTTCAGGAATTGCGTAATTCACTCATAATGTCTCTTGAAACGAATGACAGCATGCCACCCTCTGCTTCCTTGGCAGTTTTTCTCTTTACATTTTATGTTTATTTGCTGAAGTAAAAACACAAGGGAATAAAAATGTAGTGTTTCATCAAAAGTATAGCGAGT